TTTAAGAAGACAGAGAAGGAATAAAGTTCAGGTACAGAGCCAGACCTTCAGCAGACTGAGCAGAGGATTTGTTCAGTGAAGGCTGCACAGCTTCTCCGAGGACAAGGAAGCTGTGTAAAGGTGGGAGGGGTTAAGGTAAATTTTGTGTTACTGGAAACGAGGCACACACAGCTGTGAAGTCTGGGCTGGGGTGCCCCCCCCCCAAGGTGCAGAACAAAGAAGCTGTTTTCAGCTTGGATGGCTAGCCTAATGACTAACTGATAACCAGGGTGCAAGGACAGCAGAGAGACATCCCAACAAGAGAAGTGGTTTGCCTGCCTCACTGCAGCTGTGGCATTCTACCAGGCCCGAGATAGGGCTGTGAATAACCATTAACAGTGGGACTGGGACAAGACATTTGTCTCAGGGAACTTCTGGTTTCTATCAGAAACAACTTGGGGGAAGAAAAGTTTTGGTTACTTTTCTGTTGCTGTGATAAAACACCATGTCCAAAGCAACTTATAGAGGACGAGTTTATTTAACTTATGGTTCCAGAGGGATGAGTCCATCATGACAGGGAGGCGTGGTGACGGAGGCAGCTGGAGCAGAAGATGAACACTCACATCTCCAAGCACATGCAGGAGGAAGAGAGATGGAGTTAGGGCAAGGCTATGAACTCTCAAAGCTTACCCCCCAGTAACATGCTTCCTCCAGCAAGACCACACCTCCTAAGCTTCCACGAACAGCAACACCAACTGGGGATAAGTATTCAAATTAGTAAGCCTATAAGGGGCAGTACTCATTCAAACCAACACATTTGGCTCATGGTTTCAGGGGGATTTGGGTCCATCCTGGTGGGGGAGGCGTGGCTGGAAAAGTGGCTTCATCTTTGGCAGTGAGAGCAGTGTGACAGACGAGGAAGCAGAGAAGGTGGGCTAGAACCAGGCCTGCTTCTAATGACCTCTTTCTGCCAGCTAGGCTTTGCCTCCTAAAGGTTCTACAGTCTTAACAAGCTGGGGACCAGTGTTCAAAATGTGAACCTGTGGTGGACACTTCAGATACAAACCATAATACAGGATATGGCATGGAATTTTAGGGTAGTGTCTATAACACAGCACTAGGGTATTACAGGGCCTGGAAGCTACCATATGGAGGGACCCTGGTTATTCTCGTGTGAAAGAGAGTGCAGAATGATTCCATCTGAAGAGGTTGGAACATGGGTGCTTGAGGAGTTTGATTTGGGTTTAACTTAGACTTTCCTTGAGACAAGGAGCAGGGGCTAGGGAGATGGTTCAGCTGGTGAAGTGTTTGCTGCACCAGCATGAAGATTTGAGTACAGATTCCCAGCACCCTCACAAAAAGCCAGGCATGGTGGTACACACTTGTAATTCTATTACTGGGAAGGCAGAAACAGGCAGATCTCTGGAGCTCAATGGGCAGCCAGCCTAGCCTGGTAGGTGAGCCCCAGGTCTGTGAGAGATCGTGTTTCAAAAGCAAGAAGGAAAGCACCCAAGGTTGACCTCTGACCGCTCCATGCATTTGCACACACATACAAAAGACCAGATGAAATGGCACCTGCTTGAGGGAGGCAGCATTTGACTGAACACACAGACTGGATGCTCTGCTGAAAGGCTTTGCAGTACAGTGATCCTGTGGCTTCAGGTCTCGTTTTTGCTGCTTCCATTTTGTCTTTTTTTGTTGTCTCCATGTGCAAGCGACTGGATTTGTACCTTACGTTGCTTCCCATAGTTTTCAGGAAGAAATTTTCAAGTAGCTTTAAGTTGAGGCTTTTATGGATCCCCCATTATTGAGGTGAGTTTAAAGTGTTTGAAGTCTTCCTTTCCACCCTTAAAAGCTGAGTTCACTTCCTGCTCTAATAGAGCTATGATTGGACTGGAGTGATTGCAGTGTGGTAAGAAATCTGGACCGGTGGGTTGGCCTCTGTGTGTACAGTAAGCTGAGATAAAAGGCAGAAATTTTGCTCCCAGACCACCAATTAAACGAAATGACTTAACCACTGACTTGGGCTGTTTCCTGTGTGCTTTGTTTTGAAGTTGGATCCTTCCTGTTTAACCCAAGCAAATAGACTCAGCTGCTCGCTGGTCTCAAAGGAGAGCCCACCCACCCCTTTTAACCAAATAGTTTCTCTACAGGATTCAACTGAAAGATGGGCAGTGAAAAAAACTCTTCACCCACACGTTTCCTAGTCACTGATTATCTCTGCTGTTCTGAGTAGGCTTGTTGATCCATTTTATATAGATACAGGAAATATCAATATATAGTTCCATCTTCTCTTGTCTACAAAGGGCATCAGAGTCTGCATTTGTCCTTGCTCTTATCTTTTTAGATCTATTACCTTGGAAATCTCACCATATCTGTATGTAGATTGTATATTATTTTTTATTGTCCCACCATAAGGATTTATCCAGGTCTAATTAGCCAACCCTATTGATAGACATCTGTTGTTACAAATATACTGTGATCTTATAAATACATCATTTCACGTGTATGGAAGAATATAGGATACATCTCCAGCAGCCATATGTACTTTTTAAAGTTTTTAAAATTTATTTTCACTGAATTTGTCCATTGCATCTATATTTGTGTACCACTGGTGTGCACCTGGTGTCTGAGGAGGCCGAAAGAGGCGCTGGATCCCCTGGAAGTGGCATACAGATAATTGTGGCCACCATGTGGGTGCTGGGAAACCAAACCCAGGTCCTCTGTAAGAGCAAGTGCTCCTAACTTCAGAACCATATCTCCAGCCCCACCTTCTGCATTTTTAATTTTCCAAAGACTGTTGACAAGTCCATACATGCTGCACCAATTTGCATTCCTACCGGCAAAGTCAAATACTGTTTCCCCTTGCAGGCACTGCATCTACAATTTTTTGCAAACTGATGAGAAAAAGTATTGCTTTCTAAGGCCAAACATCTTGCCATTAAAGAGCCATATGCATTTCTTGTTCTGTAATCTATGTTCATATCTTTTTCCCATTTTCTGATGGATTGTAGGTCTTTTACACAGTGATTCCTGGACACTAGCATTGTATTGCAGAAAAAATCTTTCCATTTTTTCTATATTTTTGCTTGTGTAAAAGTGTGTTTTAGCTGGGCGTGGTGGTGTACACCTTTAATCCCAGCACTTGGGAGGCAGAGACAGGCGGATCTCTGTGACTTCAAGGCCAGCCTGGTCTACATAGTAAGTTCCAGGACAGCTGGGGCTACAGGGAGACCCTGTCTCAAAAAGACCAGGAAAAAAAAAAAGTGTTTTAGCCTGCAGAATTTTTTTAGGGGAGGTGGAGTGTACAGATTTATCAGTATTCACAACTTTTAAAGAATTACAGACTGAATTTTTGTTCAGAGTAAAGTCTTCCACTTTCAAGCAACAAGGGAATTTCCCCAAGAGTTCTAGAATGTTCATGGTTAAATTTATCACACTTGAAGCTTTTTTTTTTTTTGTCTTTTTGATACAGGGTCTCCCTGTAACCCCAGCTAGCCTGGAACTTGCTATGTAGACCAGGGTGGCCTTGGATCTGTCTGCCTCCCCAGTGCTGGCATCAAAGGTGTGTGCCACCACGCCCAGCTAGCTTGAATCCTTTTGCAGTTTCTCTTTAAGTGTGTGTAGGTGCCTATCGAGTTGTCCCAATATTGGTCAATACCATCTTTTTTTTCCAGTGGTTTAAAATTGTCCCTCACCCTTATCACATGTTAAATTCAAGGGAAACCATGGAAGGCTTCTTTCTGGTAAACTTCTTGAGTTTCTCTACTGTTCTGACTCCTGGTGCCTGTCTCCCCACATGTCCACCCAAAACTTGAATTTCTTCCTGTTTTACATGCCCAACAGCTTCCAGTCCGTGGGACACTGGCTGGGTGAAAGAGGGCATCCATTCATTGTACCCCCCATGTGCCAGGCCTGCCAAGGCTTGTCACTAAGGAATGCAAGTAGAGAGGAAAAGGCCCTGTAGTGGCTTAAAGTGATCGCTTGGCCCATTTGAAGTCTTTGCCAGCACCGGCATGAGTGTAGTCAGTGAGAATGTGGTGTGTCTACGGGGTTTGGTGAACTGAAGGTTTGGTGCTGCACTTGGGCCCTGAAGAGGAAGCCTGACTGCTTACCGTGCTCACTGTTTCAAGCCTCATAACTTTACTGAGCTTTCCAGTTCCAGGTTTTCAAGGCATATACAGGGTTTTCTCCTATGGCCTCTTCAGTTAGAAAGCACATCTGTGTGAATTCACCAGGTCTCTCACTCTCTCACTGTAGAGAACCTTCAACTCTACTGTCGCTTGTCTCTTTTGGGGAGCTGGTTATTGTCCCTCAGTCTGACTCTCTGGTCTAGAGACCTGACCTTTCTCTAGCTTAGCAGGATCAGGCCAGAGGGACTGACCCTCAGTGAAGTATTAGTCACCAGGGATGGTGGCCGGGGGGATAGTTTCTGTGGAACCTTTGGTTGAGTTTGAAAGCATTTTGCTAACAGTCTATATTGGCTTCTGAGGAAGGAAATAAGTGGTGCAGTGGAACCTTCGAGACTTTCAAAGTCCAATGGCCAGACCTCCTTTCTTTCCTAGTCCTCAGCAAGCAAGCCCTTGCACAGTGTCATCTGTGTATTTGTCTTGCCCTCAGTAATGTGGGCATTAACTAGGCCTCTGTGATCAGATGAGATGATACATGAGTTTGTGCAACAGCATCCAAGCCTGGAGGCCATTAGCAGATGTGAGCAGAACCCTCTAAAGCTGCTCACAGCTCTGCCGAGTAGCTGCCTTTGGGGGTGGGGGTGGGGTGGGGGTAATGGGCCAAGATGATTAACTGTCTTAGAGAGCATAGGCATATGTGACCATTTCCGTCTAGATTTTCCATCTGGTCTTTGGAACCATTTTTCAGGGAAGCTGGCCAAAGCTCCCGCATCAGATTTGTTAGGTGGCCGTGAGACAGGGTTGCTAGCCTTCCTCATCTAGTTTTTCCCCTGGAATGTTCATGATTTGACCCCGGTCTCTTGGGCTCCTGGGCTCTGTCTCCTCTTGCAGGTCAGAGTGGGAGCCTTGCAGTTCGGGTCCATGCCTCATCTGGAATTCCCCTTGGACTCCTTTTCAACCCGACAGGACGTGAAAGCAAAAATCAAGAGGATAGTTTTCAAGTATGTATAACCAGACACACTGACACCAAAGCCTTGAAGGGTCTGGCCCTACTTTACCCTCACTTCTAGGGCTGTGGGCTGCTTCCAGCACCCCAGCTGTGCATAGTAGGTACTGTGAGTTATCTTCTCAAGACCACCCTCATTACTGCATGATAATATCCAGGTGGGAATTTAAACAATAGTTGAAAATACATGTATAAGCTGCTATTATGTGTGCTTGACAGTTACCTGAAAGAGGTTATTGAAGATCCAGAGTGGGGTGAAATGTAGGAAGAACATGGGGTGTTGGTCCCAGCTGGCCACAGAAACCTCTCTGCTAGCCTCATTTTTTTTCCAGTCTAAAAAGAGTTAAGTTCTCTTTTGCTGCTGAGAGTGCTTTAAAATTGTGGATAGCTGTTAATGCACTCGTCTGTTTAGACACTGTATAAACGTGTATGTAGTGGGGCTATGACTGTACTCTCATAAGTCCACTGATGTGTGTTTTTGCTCATATGTATTTGTATATACATTTTGTGTATGGATGTTTTATGTATATTATATGTGTGTAATCTGTGTGTGAATGTGTTATACATGTACACACACATATTTATGTACATACATCATACAGTGTTTTTTATAAGTCCTCACAGAAGAATGACTTTGGCTTGTCCAACTCTGATCTCTAGTTCTGCTCTGGTCTCTGCTGCCCCGTGTGCCAGAGTCCAGTGAAGTCCTGAGGTCTCTTGTCCTAGCCAGTCATAACTGCCAACCAACTGCAAAGGTCCTGAACCCTGAGCGCCTTTCCCCAGTCACAGGTGTGTATCAATGCTCTCAAACACCTGAGGCTTTACACAGGCCATGGCAAGCAGGCACTTGGAGGTCCTGCAGCCGTTGGGTGCCTGGGGACCCATGATTATCTTAGATTGTTTATCCTAGCCCGGTCCTCTGCCCTGCATGCCCTGAACAGGATCAGAGCAAATAGCAAGCAATAGAACACAAAAGGAAGAAACCCACCCTTGTCCCTTCCCTAGGACTGTTATACTCTAACTCAGAGCCTTTGAAATATAATATCTACCACGAAATCCATACATTTAATGTATAGAATTCAGTGGTTCTGAGTATATTTTTACCAAGTTATTCAGCTACTGCCATAATATAAATTTTCATTTTCATTGTCTCCAAAAGAAACCTTTTAAATAGACCATTTTTTTCCAGGGAGGTTAGACAATGGCCAATAGCATGGAAACATGCTCACCATGGTTAGTAGGGAAGTACAAAGTAGACCCACAGTGAGATGTCCTTTCATACCTACTAGGAAGGCTCAAGTAGAAGGTAGATTATAACAAATGTTGACAAGGATGTAGAAAGAGTAAAACAACTCATAGAGTTGCTGGTAGCATTCTTCGAACTTATGGAGCCACCAGATGACCCAGCAATTCCACTTCAAGAAAACAAAAAGTATGCTGCCACAAAAATGTGTGCACTAGGGGTTGAAGAGATGCTCAGCAGTTAAGAGCACGGGCTGCTCTTGCAGAGGACCCAGGTTCTATTCACAGCCCCCACATGGCAGCTAAGAGCCATCAGTAACTCCAGTTCCAGGGGCTCTGATGCCCTCTTCTGGTCTCCATGGGCATTGCACACATGGATGCACTTACATACATTGTAGGCAAAACACACACATAAAATGAAAAAATAAAAGTTTAAAACCCACTTGGGTGGCTGATTCAAATGAGTGATCTGTAAAACTAAAGCAGTTGCAACGAATTGTTACAAAAAGACACACTGGAGATCGACTAGTATGTATTCCAATTCCCCCTTCTGTAGAGCAGGGTATTAGGCCCCACCCAGCCACCCTATTCCACCTCTTCCCACCCACCTCTTCTCCCTCTCTGACAATCAGCTGAGCCTCTTTCACCTGTACTGAGAGTACTGTTAGCAGGTAACGTACTTGCCACCAAGCCTGATAACCTGAATCTAATCCCAAGAAGCCACATGATGGAAGGACAGAATTGACCCCCTTCCACCTTGCAGGATGTCCTCTGACCTCTACCTGCACATTGTGGCATGTGTGTACTACTACATCCCAATAAGTAAATGTAAAAAATAAGTCCAGAAGAATTCTGGGAATAAATGATGGAGCTCCTTTATCTGAATAGGTTCAGCTCTTCTTTAGGGATGTGTTTACATAATACACATCCTTGCAACAAGGCAGGGAGGCTGCAGCTCAGTGTGGACCCCGGTGGTTGGGTCACTGAGGACACTACTGATGGCTGGTGTGCCTCAGAGTGGAGGAATGCTGAGCCAGTGGAAGTGGTGACCTCCCCGTTCTCTTCCCTTTTTTTTTCTGCAGCAAAGCTTTCAACACTGTCTGCTTACAGAAGCTCTACCTAAACCCAGTGCCCATTCATCTTTCCAGACCAAGGCGTACTTGTCAAAGTATGCTAAGAAACCACCCTGACTATCTTGTTGCTGATTTGCAAGAAGTTTTAAGATGTACCAGTCAAGCCTCCCAATATTCTGCTTCTGGTAATATAAAATCAGATAAAATCTAATTGGTAGCTGCTTCCTGGATTCCAGAGCTCCTGGCCAACTGGCGCACACAGGCTCACTGCATTAATCTCATAATAACCCAGGCCCAAGTCCTCTATGACTGAACCCTTTGCTTCCCTTGTAGCTCTTTCACCCAACCATTTTGCCTTAGCCTGAAACCATCTCCAGCCCTTTTAGCTTCTCTCAACCCACATTTAAACATAGCTCTTAGGATAGCTGGAATTATAATACATTTGTTCCTTTTAACATTTTTACTTAATATATAATTTGACCTGCACTTTACATAAAACTATATTTTCATGTTGCTCTTATGAATGGTTGTGTAATAATCTGAAGAATATGCCTCTCTGTATTTAATCATTTCTCATCCCTCCAAAAGGAAATATTTAGATTGAGCCTAGGATTTTTGTCTATCATTTTTTAAAAAGCTGTAAGGCTGGGGCTGTAGCTCAGTTTGTAGAGTGTTTGCCTATCATTCATGTGGCCCTGAGTTCAAGCCCCAGCACGGAAAGAAAAAAAAAAAAACAAGAAAAAACAATTTTAGCCAGGTGTGGTGGTGCATGCCTTTAATCCCAGCACTCTGGAAGCAGAGACAGGCAGAGCTCTGTGAGTTCAAGGCTAGCCTGGTCTACATAGTGAGTTCCAGGACAGCTGGGACTATAGGGAGACCCTGTCTTAAAAGAAACAAACAAAAAAAGAAACAACAACAAAAAGCTGTAATCAACTTCCTTCTGCTTACAGTGGGACTTACAGAGCATTTTTCAAAGTCTGTTCTGTGATTGTGAGACTTGGCTGCAAAGATCAGTTTCTTACAGTAGGCTGCTGGACAGTCTTGATAGCACGCTCATGAGGTCCAAGGAGGAGCTGAACTCCCACTTCATCCTTAGACCACACCATCCCTTTCCCCACTTTAGCATGGAAGGAAGTTGGACTCAGGCTAGGTCACTTTTCAAAAATTCACCTGGCCTAGCTTTCACATAAAAGGCATTTGAGCCCCTTAAACTCAGGTGTTCTTAATCACTTGATTAATCCTTAGGTTCTAGGCATGTATAGACTCTCCCTCTCCCAAAAGTCCCATGCCTAGTAGCAAACCTAACCCCCACTCAAGACAGTAGCCCATCTACGAACCCTCAACTTTCCATCTAATTTAGTGTGATGTTAGAGACTTCAGGGAAATCTCTGCATGTTAACCTCCAACCTCCTTGTGAGGAAACAGCCACTGAGCTCAGAACAGACTTGGAGTTAGAAATAGTCTGAGGAATCAGTGGTGGGGTTTCTTCTCATTCCCAGAGGTCAGATGTTCCCCTGTCCTTGGCAGGAAACCAGCAGAGGTGTTTACCTGGGAGAAGCCAGTGGGTACTGAGCCACTTGGAATGTAGATACCATCATACCCATGTTGTGGGTGACATGGGCCTTCATGTCTTTAAAATTTAACTTTTCTCTAACCACAAGCTAGTGAAAGAAGAGGCAGCCATAGACTTAGAAAATCTGGGTTGAGAGTTTCATACTCCTGTGCTTCGGCATGTAGTGAATTTTGAATTGAATGTGTTCTCCTCCCTGTTTTAAAAAACAAAGTCTGGATTGAACCCAAGGCTTCCCCTGAATGTGGTAAATGGAAAGGAACACTGTGTAGCTCTGAAGCAGTCAAAAGCAGGCCTGCCTGATAAGTGGATACAGGGTCATGGAGAACAAGTGCCTTTTCTTTTGGTCCTTGTATAGGAAGAGCAGCAGTCATAAGCCAGGAGGCAAAAGATGCCCTAGGATGAGAGAGCAAAGCCTGACTGAGAAATGCAGAGTCTAAGATCACTGCCAGGTGTCCATGGAGCTCACTGCCTGAGCAGGTGAAGGGTACTCCCTGGCTACTGGGCACCTGGGCTTTGTGGAGGAGTTTTATGACCATTTAGGCAGAATAGTATAGAACAAGTGTCAGACATCTTCAGTAAAAGCTCATATATTCAATAACTTTAATTATTTGTAGGTTCCATAGTCTTTGCATAAATAGTACAGAGATGACTTGGGATGGCTCTTTTCCAATGTTTGAAATGGGCAGCTGGAAAGGTTTGGTTCATAGGTTGTACTGTTGCTGACCCCTAGAGAGGAAAGAACAGTTTTAGAATTAGCTTGAATGGGATTACACTCCACTTCTGACCCTCCACTAGGTGGGTCAGAGGTGGGTGGCTTGGCTGAGTAGCCATATAGTTAAAGACGGGCTCTAGACGCAGAAAGCTCAGGATTCAAATCCTGTCCGTACCAGTGGAGCTGTTTAACCTTAGAAAAGACCTTTTTTCTGAACTTCCCAGAAAGCTGTAATGACAACAGGACAGTATGCTAAGCTCATGTGTGTGTGTCTGTATTTGCCGCTATGCTTCCTTGTATAAATAGGTTGAGCACAATGCCTGGCATGTGGTAAAAGCCCAGAAAATATCAGCAGTTATCACTGAGATTCTCAGAGCAGGGATCTCTCCTCCCTGTTTAATGAAAATAACACTTAAGCCTTTTCCCATAGTTAGTTGTAAGACTACATTTAGGGACTGGTATGTGAAGTCTGTGGTTGCCAGGGGAAGCTCAGTGAGCCCTTAAAGAAGATTCTGCAGACAGAGCTTTGCTAAACTAGCAGTCATGGGAATCTTCTTGGTTCTCTTTAGCATGTAACAGTGACAGCTGTAGATTCTAGGAGTTGTTAATTCCTGTTGCCATTTATTAACTTAGTGGAGCTCCTCAAGGAGAATTGTTCATGAAGAGCTTGTATAAGATAGAAAGCAAGAAAAGCTTTGGGATTCAATGGGATTCAATGACATTGTTGCACCCACAGGTAAGCCCATTGCCAGAGCAGAGCTCTATGTATTAGCTCCAGCACACTGCCTTTTATTTTTTTCTTTTCTATTTTCCCAGATTGTGTCAGGTACTTCCTTCCCTATGATGCCATTGGTGCATTCTGCCCTCTGACCCATCATGGATTCCCTTCTCAGAATTCCTGAGATGTACCTCCTTGCCCAAATACCTTTGTTAGCTGGCCTGGGAGTTCTTTGAGTGTGGTTCATGTTCTGCTTCCTGGTCTCATTTGTAGTCCACAGTAAATATTAGTGGTTGAGAAGAGCAAGTGGGTTTTAAATTGATGATGTTGCTGCTCTATATTGTAGGCTAAGTCCTTGTTTGAGGAGTTCTCCATTCTTATTGGCATTTATGAACTTAATGAAGCTTCACAAAGAGAATTGCCCTTTAAGAACTTGTATAAGATGAAAGTAGTAAAAATGAAGAATATTCTAGGTCTGGTCAATAAATCTTCCCAGGCTTAATGTCTGTACTCTTTCTCCATCCCTCTGCTAAATGCAGACTGGGAGAATTTGGGGAGCTTGAAATGAAAGGAGCCTGGCTTTTTAAGTAGCTGCTTGAAGGAAAGGTGCCTGGGCAGGGGACCTGTGTCAGGGCGAGTGAGCAAGAGAATGAGAGAGCACTCTGTACCCTTGCTTCCACGCTTCTAATTGGTTGGATGTTTATGCATTAGAAGAATGACGGCAGGGTCCTCTCACAGGACTGAGCTGAGGGCAGGCATTGTGTGTACTTACAGTTATAGAAAAATCTGACGATATGTGTGTGTGTGTGTGTGTGTGTGTGTGTGTGCGCGCGCGCGCCCCTCCCCCCATCAGTCAACATCACAGAATGGTTCTCCAACAAGGCTTTCTATAGGCCTGTGGTAAATCACTGTGGCAAGTCCATCTGCTTCCACAGTGGCTCGTGTTTGGAGATACTGTCATCAGCTAAAAGGTTTGGCCTCGGTAAGCCAACAATTTACCTCAAATCCATTGTAATGAGTTACCATTTTCTGCCCAGCCTGACACCCAAAGCTAGCCATCAGCCCGGGTAATCCTCCTCTTTGAAGAGTGTAGAAATGTGGCTCTGAGATTCTAAGCCCAGTGAACCGACCATACAGTGGGGCTAATGGGCATTGGACAATCTCCAAAACCTTGAAACAGAAAATGTTTAATTCTAGACCACTGTGACCTGGACTGGAGGTGGCTCAATGGTCTGCCTTCCAGTACTCAACCATGGTCCTGGACGTGACCCACAAAGGCTGAATCATGGAAATTCCTGTATATTATTCTTAGAAATTCTTACTGAACACACAATTTTCTCAAACTCATACTTCTGCTTTCCCAGCCCCGGAAGATGCTGAGCCATGTCAAGAAGGGAGTGGATGTTAGCCAATGAGATTGTCAACTCAGATTTATCTGTGGGACTTCAGGGATAAAATAAAAATACCTACATGTACAAAACATTAACACAGAGGTGCAGATGAACTCCCGATCCACAGAAAGGGTTAGCATTTATTCATCCTTGTGGTTTAGATGGAGAAAATGTCCCTTTGGGCCTCTGCTAGGCACCACAGCCATTCTCTAATATCAGAAGCCCATTACTTCTGGGCTCTCCTCCCAACTTTGTCTCACTGACTTTCTTCTTCCTTTTTTCCTCTTCCTGTCCTCAGAGGAGGACGCACAGAGACAGGTCTTGCTCTGAAACACCTTTTGCACAGAGGATTCCCTGGGGGCAGAAATGGTTCTGTACCCCAGTTCCTCATCATAGTCACTGACGGCAAGTCCCAGGGGTCTGTGGCACTGCCAGCCAAGCAGCTGAAGGAAAGGGACGTCACTGTGTTTGCCGTGGGGGTCCGGTTTCCCAGGTAAGTGCCCTGGTCACTCTGGGTCAGTTCTCAAGCAGTGGGCCCAGGGACAGTGACATGGCTGAAAGAGCCCTCAAGAACCTTCACAGCCACTGCACAACTGGGGAACTGGGAGAACTGCCTGGTCCTTACATGGTTCTGTCTTCCTTGCTCTGCTGGTTCTGGCTCCAATGCATAGAGCATCCCAACCTTTGGAAGTCTGAGTTTTAATGTTAGCTCTGATTTTATCTGAACATTTGGTTACAAGCACCCTGAGTCAACTCAAACTCATTGGACAAATAGAAATTGATGGAGTCCTCTCACTACCCCAGCTGGGTCAGCAGACCCTCTAGGTGGGCAGGAACTAGGGGCTCTAGTGCCATTCTGATCTCCCCATCCATCACCCATCTCTCATGCTCTCTTACCTGTGGGCCTCTCTTCCCAGCCAGGCTCCCTGGGGAAGCAGGAGCCAGGGCCATGGACAGCATGCTAGCCTACAACTTCCCAGCTCCATCCTGGATAAATATCCTGGAAAGATAGAGGAAACCCTCCCCAGCTTCTGCTAATTCAGTTCTGATTGGCCTGAGTCACATACTTCTGATGCTGATAAGGAGGGATGGGGTGTCTGTGACTCTCTGCCCCTCCCTAGCTATGCTTATTCAGGTACTGGGTAAACCTGCCTTCTGGAAGAGAGGGACATAGGCCCCCAAGACTCTCAACTGTAAAAATGGAAACGGCGCCCAGCCCTTGGGTCTCCAGTTGTTACAGTTATTAAGTGGGATGACTCTGGGCTGGGCACTGTGCTTAGACTTAGAAACTTCTTTATTTGACCAGCATATTATTATTTTCTCTAAATCAATTTAGGTTTCTTCCACTCGCTGGACACAAGCCTAGGTTCTTAGGATACAGAGACAACAATATAAATCCCTACCTCATGGAAAAAAAAAAACAACTAGATGATAAGCAAGCAAATGAATAACTATGATTTGTGCTAGAAACAGAATCAAAGGAGTGAGAGGCTACAAGGCTAAAGACAGATAGGGAGCCAAGAGGGGTAAAGGCTGCTTTGAGAGATCACTTTCTATGAAGAAACTTGAATGATGTGAACAGCAAGTATTTTAAGAAACAGGCAAAGTAGTCAGGCCATGACGAGAGCAAAGGCCTTGAGGCAGCAGCTTGATGTGTTAAACATGCAGTAAAACAACCCACAAGAAGCTGGGGCCCACTGTATAAGCTATAGAATCACAAGAAATGAGTAGGTGAGGGGCTGGAGAGATGGCTCAGTGGTTAATAGCACTGGCTTCTCTTGCAGAAGACCTGGGTTCTATTCCCAGCACCCACATGGCAGCTCACAACCGTAACTCCAGTTCCAGGGGAACTAGACACACTCTTCTCACCTCCAAGGGCATTGCACAGCATGGGTGCACTTATATACATGCAGACAATACTTTCATACACATAAAAAATTAATAAATATATTTTAAGAGAAATGAGTAGGTGAGATGGGAAGAGTTGGGGTACAAAGACTGCTGAAGGGGGCTAGGGAGGTGGTTCTGTGGGTAAGAGTGCTTCCTGCACACATGTGAGGCCCTAAATTTGGATTTCAAGCATCTTATATAAAAAACCAGGCATGACTCTGTGTACCTGTCACCACAAAGCTATGGAGGGGCAGAGACAGGAGGGTTGCCCAGGCTTGCTAGTCATCAGCCTATCTCCAGACCAGCAAGCTTCAGGTCCAGTGGGAGATCCTGCTTCAAGGGATAACATGGAGAGTGCTAGAGTGGGCAACTGATAGCCTCCTCTGGCCTCCTTCCACACACCAAACATATACATGTACATGTGCATGCATACATGGAAACAAAAATAACTCTTCTGGATATTGGTGAGGATTTTGGAGTTTTTTTGTGAAGATTTTAGGGTCCAGAGCAGAAAAATATCCTTAGGCAATCACACTGGCTGGGGGACTAGGCAAGAGGTTTAGAAACAGCTCACACTAGAGACAGTCATGTTCAAAGCAACGAGCAGCTGGGTCCTGCCGAGGCACGGAAGCATGGTTGGACTTGGGATGTGTTGTAAGGGTAGAGCAATGGCTGCTGAGTCAGATGTGGGTTGGAAGGAAAGGAGGATTTGGGCCTCAGCCCCAGAGTGGATGGTGGTGCTGTTCATTAACATGGGAGAGAAGACGGGGAAGTATCAGTCTGGCATTCTGCACTCTGAGATTTGACAGCATGCTGACTCTGTCTCTGACCCCTTTTCCTACTTACTCTTTGCTGATGGTTTTCCACCCTGACTTGTACCTGAATTTGCTGAACAGCTTTTGAGAAAGCCTTTTGCTGGGTCAGAACAGTGGGGGATGGAACGGGCAGGCCACGTCTGAGACGCCCCTTTCTGTGTGCCAGCTGTTTGACTGGTAGGACTAGGTGCTGGGAGAAAAGCCTAGTTAATGTGAATTCAGGCAAGAATGGAGAGTTTGGCACTAGTGAAGTCTGGAGTACAATGAAGTTCTTGCCCTGTTACCTGACCTTGGTCTGTTTGGCTGAATTTTCAGTGGCAGGATTTTCATTCTCCCCACTTCATTGACTGCCCCATCTGTCTTTTTTAATGTTTAACATCCATCCATCCATCCATCCATTGTAGGGAAGTGGAGAGGGCATATGTGCCGCAGTACATGTTGTGGTAGTCAGAGGACACCTCTTAGGAGTCGATTCTTTCCTTCCACCATGTGGATTGAACTCAGGTCATCAGGCTTGGCAAAAGTGCCTTCACCCACTGAGCTAGCTCATTGGCCCTTCAAAAAAATTTTTTTTAGTATTTATTTGCCTCCTCTTTTTACAAAGAAATTTCTCAGTGTTAGCTTACTTCTTCATAACCCAGGATTATCCCATGCATCATTTAGCCCCGGGCACTGGCAGTGATGCTATCTGGGCTTGGAGGGTGCTGCCGCATTCCTTGCACAGCCTCGTGTTGCTGACCTTGAGGCTCTCCTGTCCACTGTGTATCATATTCCAGTCTTTTTCTGTCACTAGCTGTCTTTGTTTGCCCTTTGCTTGCTCTCATTCCCAACAACTTTCTTTCATTTGCTTTCTGGTTGTTTTTCTTATCGGCCATGGATTTTAGACAAGCAGACAGTTGAATCTCTTAGGACTGTGTCTTGAACATGAACTGGTAGGTCTAAGGTGAAGCTCCTATCTGAGGGAGTTTATGCATTTTAGCACATGATGACCTGTAGCTGGGCTTCCTTGAGGACTTCCTGGATGGATGAGGTTGCTGCAAGGCTGCCTTGGGGTCAGTGGGATGATATTGTAGTCCAGGGGAGAGGTAGGCAGGAGGAGAGGGGGCATGGTACCGTGAGATGTTGGAACTTCTCACCCAGGTGGGAGGAGCTACTCGAGCTGGCCAGTGAGCCAAAGGAGCAACATGTGCTGTTGGCTGAGCAAGTGGAGGATGCTACCAACGGCCTCCTCAGCACGCTCAGCAGCTCAGCGCTCTGCACCACTGCTGATCCAGGTAGGACTATCCAGCCTGGGAGAGAATGGCCTTGAACCTAAAGAACTGGGCTGTGGCCTGAGCAGGGTTCCTGTGGCAAGAGCCTCCCGGGAAGGGGTAGCAAGAGAAACAGGTAACTTCTGTCCAGGGCTCTCTGTTCTGTCTCCCTATGACCCACCCTCTGGGTTTCCTAGCTAGAGTTCTAAGCTTGTATCTGTTGGGGAAGAGGAGCCTGAGGATTGGGGTCAAATCTAGGTCCTGTCCCTTCCTGAGGAGGAAGACCAAACCCTTGCCTCCTTTCTTTGGCTGCATGGAGGAGCGCAGGGAGACTGAGCTTGGGGCACCTGCCAGGGTCCACCCCAGAGCTAAAGTGACACTTATTACATAGAAAGTTCCTGTGTGCATACTCTGTGAAAACTATGTGCGGCCCTGGGCAGGGATGTTGACATTATCTGCTTACCTCAGTGTTCTTCCCTGAGAGAGGCTGTGGGTTCCAGGGCTAGGGGTGGCGTAGAACCCCACAGCAGCTGCTCTAGGGAGCAGTGGCCTGAGGCATCTGCTATCTTATGGAGTCTTCTGACACAGACTGCAGAGTGGAAGCTCACCCCTGTGAGCGAAAGACGCTGGAGACCATTAGGGAGCTGGCTGGCAATGCCCTGTGCTGGAGGGGATCAAGGCAGGCTGATGCCGTGATGGCTTTGCGCTGTCCCTTCTACAGGTATGTTACATGATCTGATGGCAGAGACATGGCAGGGCCTGGGTAGGGTTCCTTCCCCCAGTGCCGAGTGCTCTAGAGCTGCAGGGAGATCGGCATTCTGGGTTGAGTGCTAAATAGGGCTATAGAACATGTGACAGAAATGGGAGGAGACCTGGGAGGGGGGCAGGGCCAGGGCTCTGGGAGAACAGGGCAGACACAGCTACTTAGTAAGTCTGTCAGTTTCCTGAACACTTAGCCTGGGCTACCCCAGATGGCTGCAGGTGGGGTTGCATTGGGAATAGATGTCAAGGAAGGCCTGACAAGGGAAGTAGCATCTGTGTCCAGACAGCAGAGAGGTCAGGACAATCCACATGAAGGTCTCTGAGGACAGCCAAAGTCACCATTGGCAGTATCTGCTCCAACAGGGCCTAAGAGATTGATGCCCCTGGCTTCAGAGCCTTCTGGGCAGGGATTTGTGTCTTTATGAGGCTACCAGGAGTAGACCCAGGAGGGAAGAGTGTTCTCTGATGGACCAACAGCCTGGTAAATTTGTCATTTCAGAAATTCCTTGAGATCTCCCTTGACATAATTTCTCTCTGGTTTTACCACAGAAAAGTCCTAGCCCAGGGGCATCTCCATCACCCTGCCTCTGGGCAGGCAACCTGAGAACTTTCTGAGGAGTCTTGTTTTAGAGAGCTTTTTGGCCAAGGCCCCAGAGCCTCCTTAGGTTGAGGCCTTGTTGGGCTGCTGGCTGCCAAGAGGGGGCTTTCTGCCCAGCAGTTGAGCAAGTCCTTCTGCTGTAGCAGGGCCCATCACCCCAGAGACTCAGGGTCGGGGAGGAAGTCATGGCAGTGGCATGAATTTGGAGTCAAGATGGTCAGTGTTTGGATCCCAATCCCATGTTCCGTTGGGAGCATTCCCCACCTGCAATATAGAGGGCTTCATCTCTCCAGATAGCTGTGGAGTCTAGGTACCAGTGGGGATACCTGGGACATGTGGCTGTTATCACAGAATGCTAGGGTTCAGTCATAAGGTCTGATGGCTTTCAAATCCTCTTGAGCTTTTGGAACTTTTGAGGACACTGGTCCAGACTGGATAGAAGCAGCACATTTGGGGTGAAGGAACAGGGCCAGACCACTATAGGTGGCCTGGAACCCTGGCCACTCAACCTTCTTCCTCACCATCAGAACCCTAAGAAAAGATGTTCTTACAGCTTAATATTGTGTGCACACATCTCTGTGACACCTAACTTAGAGCTTACTTTTTTTTTTTTTCTTGTCTCTGGATAGTTTGAAACATTCCCTACTCTGTATGCAAATAAAAGTTAGGACAGAATCAAGAAGGAAAATACGGTGTTTCTTGTCCCACTGGGGACAAGCTTTGAGTGGTAATCTTTGATCTCTCTACCTCTCTGTTTCCTTGAATTGTAGCTGGAAGAGAGTGTTCCTAAGCCACCCTGCCACCTGCTACAGGACCACCTGCCCAGGTATGATCTGCCTCTTGGATTCACTGATTCTCTCTGAGCTCTGGATCTAGGCTATTTTGTAAGGGGGCACTGACATTCCTAGGCAGAGGTGGGTAGTGTTGGGATGAGTTCCAGGGCAAAGGAATAGGACATCTATCGGCTGAGACATATGTTTCCGTGTACTCACCATCCATCTGCTTGATGGTATATTTTCACTGAGAATGGAATTGGAATTACCCCCCTTAGCCAGTGTTCCTTGTATTTGTTAGAGGCAGAGATTGGCACACTTTGGCCAGATATCTGAGTGGTTTCCTCCTGTATCAATTGGAGTCATGTTTGCAAGAGGTCTACAGTGTTCTCACCCTCTATATGATAGACGGCATCATTCTTGATGTCCTAGTGAAGAGTCATTAGCCCAAGGAAATGCTTCATCACTATAGAGTCCCAATTACTACCACTGGCTCATCATTTACCATGGCCCCCAGTGTACCCTCATTGCTCTTTACCCAGAGTTCCAGTGCCACTCACTGTCCTGCAAGCTAAAATTGCCCCCCCCCAAGTGTTGATGCCTGGCCTTGTGTGGGTTTGCTACTCCTGGTGAGGTAAGGAGCACAGCCAGCAGTTTTCAGGCAGGCAGAGACGGTTCCTACCCTGGGTCATGTGATCTCCTTGGTACCTCCTTTCAAAGGTGAAGTTCCAACATCTCTGGCCTCAGATGCATAAGGGAAACTGACAATGGGATTTTAGCGGCGCTGGGATAAGAGTTTGAGGACTTATGGTTTGGGACCAGAGTGATCCAAGTTTGAGTCCCTGCTCTGCCCTGACCAGACATTCAGCCTTCAACATAGGACTTTTGTTCATCCAACTGAAGCTTCCTCCTCTATAAAATAGAGATTGGATGGGGGTTGGGGGTGTCTCCATGTCTTAGGCTGGTTTTGAGGATGAAATGAGGCCTTGCATGGGTAAGGGTTAGCAGAGGACCTAGCCCATTGAAAATGCTCAATTAAAGCCTCTGTGGCTCAGTTCATGAACCCTCAGGAGTTCCTGTGATGTTCCAGCTTACCAAGACAACAGACCACTGAAGGTACCCAGAATTTGCCTCAGCAACTTCTCCCTTTAAAATGTCTATGCTTTAATTAGTGATGTAACAACTAAATAATAATGTTTTGAAGCAGAAAGAAAAAAAGAAATTGCCAGACTCAATGGTGCCCACACTCAGCCATTCTTTGCCCTGTGAATTCACTAATCCATGAAGACCTGCAAATTCTCTCTGACCCTGGGAGGGAGGTCATGGGGTCTTAACTACATTTTGTAATAACTGCTAAGGGTGCAGAGCTCAAATAGTGAGTGGTCATAGGGTATCATCAGACACTTTAGAGTGGCCTGGCTTTGACATAGGCTGTGGTTTCCTGTGTCATGTATCAGTCTTGAGTAAGTATCACTCACAGTCTGTACTTTGCATTCAAAAGCAAATTCTTTATTACCTCCTGAGAGCACTGGCTTTACATCAGAACTTCCCATGGGTTAGTTTATTTCATGCCCACAATAACACCATGGGAAAAGTGTAGGGACCAGCTCTCTGCTCAGATGAGGACAGGGAAGCCTGCAGAGGTGAATTAAGGTGCCTGCACGGTACAAAAGGTCACATTCATCTCTGAGCTGCCTGACTCTAGGATGCCAAAGCTTGTCATTCTCCTGTACTAGGACATAGAAGTCCTTAGACAACCATAGGTTCCTAAAAATGGAAGGGCTTCTTCGCTCCCTCACCCCCAGAATTCTGAGTCTTAAGATACCCACACCCATGCTGTCATCTTGATGCTACTGGGAGCTTCATCCACAGTAGGCTCGGATGTAGCACAAATTTGTCACTAGGCCCTTCTTCTGTAGCCCTGGGTAATGATGGCCACTGACGTGGTATCACAATAGGAACCCAGTTTCATGGATGCCCAGTTTCATGGATGTAATTGACACAGGGCCATCCAAGGCCTTCTGACTGCATCCAGGCTCTCTTTTAGGTACTTTGTTCTTTCTCTGTTGCTGGAGTTTGGCTGCTCTGCTAGTGAACAGTGGGGACAGAAAGCAGGAACCACCCTTCAAGCCAACCCTCTTCACCCCTGTGCCTGTGTGCTTGGCTCTGAATAGGTATCTTTCTAATAGGCCCCTGTGACTCTCAGCCCTGCCAGAATGGAGGCACATGTGTTCCCGAAGGAGTGGACAAATACCATTGCCTCTGCCCGCTGGCCTTCGGAGGGGAGGTCAACTGTGGTACGTATGCATGCAACTGAGTAGAGCTTGGCATGCCCTTCTTGCCTCTCTCTACTACTGCTGGCTAGAAACCAACTCTTAGGTTTTAAAGCCACCTAGTTTTCTCACAGCCCACTGATCTAATAACTTATGTATTGTAGCCTCTAGTGCTACAATAAATAATAAATAATCCAGATGGTGGAGCTCTGGCAGGGTCCTGGTTCCTGGCTTATCACCTGTTGAATAGCCACTGCGTAGTGTTGGAGTATCTCTGTGGCCATGTTTCTCCTCTGTTCCTCAAGGAGCCCTTTTGGTTTTAAAGCTCTGCAATCCAGATTATATTATATAAGCCTCAGTTCATAGGGTGGTAAGGAATTTTAAATAAGATTACTTAAAATGCTTAGCATAGTACCCAACACATACTGAGGGCTTGTTATGTCATAATTTTTACAACTGTTCTGTTGACTTCATTGGTATCCATATGGAAAAAGTAAATCTTATATCTCCAACCCAACTCAAAATCAGTCCATGTTTATAACTCTACATGTAGAAGGCAAAACAGGGAGGCTTCTAGAAGAAAACATAGGCAAAGATATCTCAGGAATCCAAAGCACTAAGCACAATAGGAAATAAAAGTTATAGAATAGATACATTTTGCTTTATAAAATATGGTTGAATGGAGACCCTTCACCAGAGGCAGGAGGAAGTGCTCTACTTCTGTCTCTAACTCTGTGGTGAGCGGGGTCACTTACTCCCCAGGGCCTCAGTTTCTCAGCCCCATCTTCTACCTGGGAGGTTTCTTGTGCTTGGCATCTTGTGGCAGCGTCTCAAGGGAGGCTGCATACTGCAGTGGTCCCAGATGACAGTGTCACTGTGATTCCAACAGCACCAAAGTTGAGCCTGGAATGCAGAATCGATGTCCTCTTCCTGCTGGACAGCTCTGCGGGCACCACTCTGGAGGGTTTCCTGAGGACCAAGGCCTTTGTGAAACGCTTTGTACAGGCTGTGCTGAGTGAGGACTCTCGGGCCCGTGTCGGGGTGGCCAGTTACAGCAGAGAGCTGGTGGTGGCTGTGCCTGTTGGGGAGTACCAAGACGTGCCAGATCTGGTCAGGATCCTGGACAACATTCCTTTCAGTGGTGGTCTGACCCTGACAGGTAGTGCCTTGCGACAGGTGGCAGAGCATGGCTTTGGCAGTGCTACCAGGACAGGACAGGACCGGCCTCGCAGAGTGGTGGTCCTGATCACTGAGTCGCACTCCCAGGATGAGGTGGCTGGGCCGGCACGTCATGCAAGGGCCCGGGAGCTGTTCCTTCTGGGTGTGGGCAGCGAGGCTGTGCAGGCAGAACTGGAGGAGATCACAGGCAACCCAAAGCATGTGATGGTCTACACAGACCCTCAGGACCTGTTCAACCAAATCTTGGAGCTGCAGAGGAGGCTGTGTAGTTGGTCACGGCCAGGTAAGTTTGCATAGCCTAGCCTAAGGCTGACCCCATCAGCTAGTCCTTCTTTCTTCTGGGTACCATGAATCATCATTCTCTCTAGTGTCTATGTTGGAAGCTAGAACCACAGTCACATGACCAGCAGCTTCTCAGTTTACTTGTCAAGAAAATGGGACTGAGAATAGTATTCTTTAGGGGCTTTTTGTGAGGACTAGATAAGGCAAACCATATGTACATTTAGCATGTACCAAGCACCCTGCCAATTTTAGGTGTTGCTGTTAACTATGCTTAATCATTGCTATTAGTGTTAAGGAGTTCTGACTCTACCAAGATTGCTGCAGAGCAGGAGTTTGCCACTCTCTTTGATGGAAATATATAAAAAGAAATGTATTCCTAGAACACATACATGTACACACATGTAGGCACCTACACACTCAAACACACTGAAGCAAACATTTTATAAAACGAAGCTTATCCTGTCAATCTGGCATGTGTTCTAACATTTTTCTAACATTTTTTTTCTGTTCTGTTTTATTCTGTTGTTCTCAGATCCTCAGCCTGTGTCACTGTCTCAGAGGCAAGAGGTTTCATTTCTGTAATTGGGGTATGGGGAGAAATGGGGGACAAGGCTAGGCATGCCCAGACCCATCCTGTCCCTCTAGCCCAGTCTCCTATGGCAAACTGATACTGCTTTTGTTTTGTTTTTAAGAATAGTTGTAGATGTACAGAAAAAAATGTGTCAGTTGCAGAGGGTGCCCACATTCCTCTTGTTAATGCCTTCTGTTCGTATGGTTCATTGTTACAGTTAACCAAGAGTGATCAGTTATTACTTATGGTAATAACTTTTATTAATTATTAACAAATTATTATAGTCCACCTTTGGTCAGGACATTTTACCTAATGTCCTTTTCCTGTTCCATAACCAGCTATGACCCCTCACAGGACAGTTAATGGGCCTGTCTCCTTAGGATTCTCCTTGTGGTTGTCACAGTTCTCTGTTTCCCTTGTTCCTGGTGTGGTTTTCAAAAGCCAATAAATGAGGCTACCAGACCTTCTGGCTCCATATTAAAGCCTTCCCAGCTGGCTCCCTGTGTACTTGAAGGAAACCCAAACCTCTTGCACTGGCTTCTGAGAGCTCAGTTTTGGGTTTCTGAGCCTTCTCTGCAGCTTCTGCACACTGGTAGGTGGAAGAAGCCTTCTCCCTGCTTGGAAGGAACCCCATCTGCCAGCTTCAGCTTCCTCCCCTTCCTTCTAATAGATGCGTCACCTCCCCAGGGGTCCCTTCCCAGCCACTTCTTACTGCCCCCAGTTGGTCTCTCCTCCTTTCCTGCTTTTTCCCTGTTCTTGTTTGCTTTCATATTGCTGTGATGAAAACACTGACCAAAAACAAGTTGGGGAGGAAAGGGTTTATTTGGCTTACAGCACAGTTCATCAAGAGAAGCCAGGGCAGGAACCTGGAGCACAGACCATGGAAGAATGCTGCTTAATATAATGCAGGACAACCTGCCCAGGGGTGGCACCATCCATGGGGAGCTGGGGCCTCCCACATCACTCAACAGTTAACAAAATGCCCCACAGACATAGCCACAGGCCAGTCCAATGGAGGCAATTCCCCAATTGAGGCTTCCTCTAATCAGCTGCCAGGGTGACAACTAAAGCTGTCCAGCACCCCCCTCCATATTGCTCAGTTTGTATTCATGTTCATGTTCATTTCCTGTCTGTATCTCATGCCATGCCCATGGAGGGCAGGCATCAGCCTATTCAGTGCATGTGATTTAATTAGTGTCCTGTGTACCGTGGGTGGCACATGGCAGAGTGGGACAAATGAAAGTACAGGTGCTGCCACGAAGGCCCCAAAACTCAATAGATTCCTTATTTTAGAAGCTGCTTTCACAGTTCAGGGGAAGTGGCCTGAGCAATCAGGTGGCTTGACTTGGTCATCTTGTGGCCTCCATGTTGAGGTCCAAGGTCACCATTTCTGAGCTAGCAAGAAGGGCAAGTAGCTTCCACTTGCACAAAGTAGAATTTGCATAATTTCAAATTTGGAAATGACATCCCATCATGTGGAGCCTTCCACATGGCCAACAACCAGTATTTAGGGAGACTGGGAAATGTCCAGGTGGCCATGCCCATTCCTGCTTATATTCCAAGGGAGGGATGCTCTGTGGTTACTAGGAAGGGGGTGGATAACTGCATGGACAGGCGGCACACTGGCAGACCTGGGCTCCACCCAGCCCAGAGCAGTCCCCACTGTACTAGCCAGGTCCAGTCGAGAGACCTGTTTTGCTTGATTCTGCAGGATGCCAGGTACAGTCACTGGACCTAGTCTTCCTTTTGGATGCCTCAGCCTCAGTGGGACCAGAGAATTTTGCTCAGATGCAGAGCTTTGTGAGGAGCTGCACCCTCCAGTTTGACGTGAACCCTGACGTGACACAGGTGGGCCTGGTGGTGTATGGCAGCCAGGTGCAGACAGCTTTCGGGCTGGAGACCCATCCCACCCGTGCTGCTGTGCTCCGGGCTATGAGCCAGGCCCCTTACCTAGGGGGCGTGGGCTCTGCTGGCACAGCCTTGCTGCACATCGATGACAAGGTGATGACTATCCAGAAGGGTGCCCGCCCTGGTGTCCCCAAGGCTGTGGTGATGCTCACAGGTGGGAGTGGGGCAGAGGATGCAGCTGTCCCTGCCCAGAAGCTGAGAAGCAATGGCATCTCCGTCTTGGTTGTGAGCGTGGGGGCTGTCCTCAGGGAGGCAGTGCGGAGGCTTGCTGGTCCCCGGGACTCCCTGATACATGTGGCAGCTTACACCGACCTGAGGTACCACCAGGATGTGCTCATCCAGTGGCTATGTGGAGGTAAGTGGGAGAATCCACACTCTTTGGGGCCATCCTGAGACAGGACATCTGTCTGAGCTTTCACATGTGGCATTATGGGGACAGCAACTCCTGAGTCCTCACTTGCCGTGTGCCAGCTTATGTGCTAATACACAATCCCATGAAGTCCCCAGGGAGACTTAACTATCCCCATTTAACATTTACGGGGCTAAGAATTCAGTCTCATCAACCATATCTAAGCTGTTGCTTCAGGACCATGGGAGATCCTACGGCACTTCAGCAGGCTCTTTTTGCCTGAACTGGGCATGCTTAAAGTAGGGGGTCTTTGGGTCTAACCCAGGCTGGGCCTACTGGGTACATTCTCCATCCCAGAAGCCAAGCGGCCAGTCAACCTCTGCAAACCCAACCCGTGCATGAATGAAGGCACCTGTGTCCTGCAAAATGGAAGTTACCACTGCGAGTGCTGGGGTGGCTGGGAGGGCCCCCACTGCGAGAACCGTGAGTGGGCTCCTGTATTCATGCATGAATGGGGGTGGGCTCTTTAGTCCTGCTAAATGTTACAAACAGAAGGCAGGTTGTCATTTGTCATTCAATCATCTATTCATCCCCGCCCATGAAATATTTGAAACAGTGCCTGTGTATTTCAGGCATTGTTTCGGAGATAAAAATTTGTCTAGCGGTAGATGAAACTGCAAAAACCTGCCCTTGTGGCGCTTCCATTCTAGTGTGAATAGGACAGTAGACGAGGCTAAGTGTACTGGAAATAACCAGTTAGGAGCACGGGGGATCCAGGGTTCAGGTGATGTTGGGGGATATGGGACCACAGACACATGTGGGTGGGTTGACGCAGTGTGACAGCTGGTGACCATTTGAATATCTCCACTTGTTGGTAATGTGGGAACAGTTTGTCAGCTGGGACCTGGGGAGGAAATACTAGAGGTTTGAGAGAGAAGTAGTTATAAGGAAATGGGAGGGGGTGTAACAGATTGGGGACAGCACTACCTGTGGCTCCTTTTCCTGAGCTCAAAGTTAAGTCAGGCAGAAATCAAGACATCTCAGTCAGAGCTGGGGGTTTTAGCCCTTGGCACAGCTTGGCTTCCAGTGGCCAGGGAGTAGGTGTAAAGAGCAGTCAGATGGGGGTCTGTGAGCTGGCACCTTCTGCTTGAGGGATTGGGTTGGGGAGTAACAAGGACATGAAAGAACGATAATGGCTGCTGAGTGGCTGAGGACTCAAACACACACTCAAAGATTACTTCCTTTCCCAGGGGTTTTGAGAGGAGATGCCCTCAAGGCACACAGCTTCCACCAAGAGCCTGAAGGACAGCAACCAACCCCTTCCCAGCAAGCATCTGGGCATCTCAGAATCTGAAAGGAAGCTGACCTTGGCATAGCATATTTCCTGGAACATCTGCTTCCAGCTCTGTGCAGAGCCTTCCTGCCCACAAACCTCTACCACCGAGGAGGATATTGCAGCTGCTGCTGCCTCAGACAGTAGTAGCAGCTGGAATCACTCATGAATGGTGATGTTGAAAACTCCTAATGTGTCAGTATTTAACTTCCTGTACCTGGTTCTAACTTGTTGAGGTAAGCTGTCTGCCACTTCTGAGGATAAGCAAGAGGTCAGGGAGACATCAGGGAATTGTTGGAGGGTCACTTTGTCCATCACAAATGCTGGACAGAATGTTGCTGAGACAGTAATATCCAGCAAGAAGGCATCGCTAGAGCATCTGATAGTGATGTTAACAGAAAAAGGTGTGCTTCTCCATCTCCCAGAAGATAGCTCATATGTGTTTAGTTTGAAAAAGGACTTACTTACATGCCATTTGTGACTGCTGGTGATCAGATCTGTGTGCAGGGTTATATTGCAAGTTGACCAATTAACCAGCTGGGTTGTCTATGGGGGAGGGGCTTATTGTGCAAACAGCCCAGATCTGGAGGGGCTATGTGTGATTTGGTCTGGGTGCTGGGCAACAGACCTCAGAGGGGCTTCCTTTTCAAAGAATTGACTTAGGAGGGGTTAGTGGTAGTGAGTTTGTTGGAAACTTCCTTTATCCTCCTTTTTGTGGGGCCAGCGAGTAGACAGTTTCCCAACTCAGTAAAGGGAATGAACAAGGATGTTTGCTGTTTAAGACAGACGTTGAACTGTTTTGTCTTGATTTAATTTTGCTGCTTAGTTTTTAAAGGTATATTTGAGAAGATGTTGGTTATTTCTTCAACCAGGAGTATTTGTACCTGTGTGGCAAAGAGGACTCTCTGGAATTTTTTTGGCACACTAGGTGGCCCAGCTCTCAGTATTTCGGAACCGATTCTTTCCCCTGGTTTTGTTGCTTGGAGCTGGGTTTTCAGTAGAAGTTATTGTAGCACTCTCACAAAACTCTTGTCGTAGTTTGTCTTTTTAATGTACATATTTTAATATGGTGTTATATATTCAAAAGTGTGAATCTGCTTTGTTTGAAACACCACTTAGCTTTAAGAAATTTGGAATTGCAGGTACTAGAAAAGTGCTTGAAGAAATACCACTGTGGTAATTTTAGGTAATTAAAAACAAAACTGATGTCCTAGACATTGAACCAAGATGGCGGCTTGTGTTCAATACACGTCTTCACTTAATGTAATTTCCTGTTATGACACTGCCTTCCTACAAGGCAACCTCAGGAGAGGATCACATGCTCCTCATGATCAGTACTGTCTCAGAAATAAGAACTGTCTTTAAAATACTTTGACATGTAGGCGCTCTGTCTTGGCCAGGGCTATTCGGATGCCACATGAAAATTACCTGAACTCAAACCACAAACTGTCTGGGCTTCTTTTCCAAAGGCCTGTGGTTGTTATTCCTTAGGGTCCTGGCCCTTGAAACTTGCCTTTTTCTAGTACAGTTGCCATTAAGTCAATCTTTTTCAGAACCCCGAAGGTAGCAGAACAAATTTCTGCCTTCTTGCCTAACTAGCTAAAGTCTTTCAAAATAAACTCCTAGCTTTAATCAATCCTATTAGATATATTGTCCTTATAAAAAGTTAAAAGATTATAGATAATTCATAAATTTCATTTTGCTTTCTCTGAATGATCCAGTCACCCTGCCGAACATTCCAGCTCTAACAAAAGATGATTATCCTGTAGTGCTGTTGTGGGGTTGAATACCACTACTTTTTTCCTTCATTTTGCATTGTGTTGGTGCTCCAGAACACTCTTTTTAGAAGTAGTGATAATACCAGTATCCATATGTCGTATCCATAAGTCCTAAGCTAAAGGGACTTTTCCACCTTTACAGTTGTTAGAATTTGACACTTTTCTGTGGATCACTGGTTGAGATGCTCCTTCCTTTAGTTGGTTGAGAGGTTTGTTTTTTTTTAATGACTAAGAATTTCAGTATGCTTTCTCCACTTCCTTCCAAATGTGTTTTTCACATTTAGTCCACTAATGTGACCAGTTGTATATCTCAATATTTTCAATCACTGAACTTTTTTTGGGGGGATGGGGGGGTCTTTTTGAGACAGTGTCTCCCTGTGGCCCCAGCTGGCCTGGAACTCCCTATATAGACCAGGCTGATCTTGATCTCACAGAGATCACCTGTGATCACCTCAACTCACTGCTGCACTGCAGTTATATATTCGTGTCTGTGCATAAGGCTTCCTTGTCAAGTCCATTTCATACTGCCTTCGGTTGTTGGTTTTTTAAAATCATGTTCACATGCTCAAGGAGTCGGATTTTGGTTTTGTCAAATTATTTTATATAAATACATTTATGCTCTGAATTTCCTTAATCATTGCTTAGGCAACCTTCCACATATTGCTATGTTTCTTTTCCTCAAGAATTACTTAGGAGTCTGTTTAACCTGCAGGAGCTTGATTTTCAATTGTCTACATATAATCAGTCTCTGCAGATGTTTCCTGTGTATTTGGTTCCTTGTTAATTATACTATTAGAATCCTTAAAGCCACTTGCTAGGATCCCACATATGGCTCACTCTTCCAGCTTTCAGTGTATAAATAATCAAGACATTTGCCCCTTGTCATTCCATGAAACACAAGGAAAACTCAAAAATACAATGAATGTTTTATTAAAAAAAAAATCTAACTCACAACATGGTAAAGTCACCAAGTGTTTATGACACAGGAAATAAATGCCCTGGGATTAGAAAGACAATAAACGTAAAAAAAAGACCTTTTGCTTTCAGGAACCAGTGTTAGAGAACTCTGATTCAGAATGCCCAGAAATGGGACAAGGGTGACAGATGAAATGTTTCAACCTGTGTTAATGCCGTCACAGAGACAGGCCACATACTGGACAGCACTGCCAATTTGAAGAAAGAGGAAGGCTGCCCAAATTCACCATTGTTTTTCTTACAAGGGGACCAGAAATGAAAACAGATCTTTAAAATAAAAATGACAAGATTATATTAAATAACTCTTCCTTTAAAAGAGGCCTACCCATAGGACTGAATTTGTAAACATGGGGATTATATATTTTCCTGTATGATACAACATTGCTTAATTTTTTAAAAAAATTTTTTTTCAGTTACCTTGAACTGAACAAAAGTCCTTAACCGGCTCAGTGCCTTATCTTGGTCATAAATATTTGCCTCTGCTGCTCTTTTTTAAAGTTTGTGCCACTGGTGCTCAATGCTGTTTAAAATCAAAGACCAAGTCGGGCTCATTAATGTGGAAGAGAACAAACTTGGAGGCAAGGATGGTTTAACCCTCAACATCGCCAAGCATAGGATAAGAGATGAGGGGCTAAAGTGGAGGTGTTCTCAGGCACCAAAGTCACATGGCCATTTTTCACTACTTAAAAATCTTGATAAAATGATGGACTGATGGATGAAATTTAAAAATAGAACAAGAAAAGAAACACAGAACACTCCTAAGTACAATGTCTCATTACAGCCAATAGACTCGGGTCTCCAAGGAAGCCTCTGATGCTGCTGCTGTAGCCTCCCTTTGGCTTGTTTTCCTCCACTGACCAAAGCTCTCCACTCACAGCACTTTATTCCTTGCTTTTTCTTCCAAACAGACTCACCCCTTCCTCAGAGGTGCTGTTTTAATGAAGACTTTACCAAAGCAGGATTGTCACCAAGGTCCACATTGACATTAAGAGTCTTTAGATGATTGTCTCCTAACTTGCTCCTTTCTTCTCCCATTCCTATGGTACCAAACACAAGTGTACACCCCCAAAAGAAAGTTATCCTCTGTATCAACCTTTATATGCATAGAAAGGGGTAAAAAAAAAAAACCACTCAAAATGTAGTTACACAAAGAGGTATCCAATATGTTTCAAATTTTGTATGTTCAGCCCTGTGTGGAGCACCCATGAAGAAATGTTGAGGCGGAGGTTCAGCAAAGTGCTGGGAGTGATTGGTGATGCCTGCCACTGCAATGAGGGGGCAGAGTTAATGCAACAAAATGGATTTAATAGTTCACCATTGGTGGCGGTGCCTCCAACCATCTCCAGCAAGTACTCAGTACAGGAACAAGGAGCAGGGTTTGTCAAAGCCAAGACAACTTTAGGCATACAAATAAGTTAAGGATGAATAACGCTTTTCATTGAGCCTTCAGGGACAAACCTCGTCATAGGATCCATTCCTGGTGTTTGCTTTGCTGAGCCTTTAGCCACTGTCTGGGTGATTTTGTTTCCTTATTTTTAATGGCTCCACAGTTAACAGCACTTGCTGCTCTTCCAAAGGACCTGGGTTTGGTTCCCAGCACCCACAACTGCCTGCCTACTCGTGGTGTACATACACTTGGGCACACACATAAAAAATCATTTTTTTTAAAAAAGAAATCATTTGGAATCACTGACTTTGTGGACTGAAGACATTTCAGTCACAATCTGCCCCTTGGAACCACTGCTGAGTGGTGGGGAGGTTATGGACAGACGTGTCCACAGCTTTGGAAAGAACACTTGTATCAAGTATATGCGCCTTTTAGTTAATCGGTGACAAAGGCTGTGTCAAAGGCTTAGGAAAGCCAGATCCACAGTTGCGTTCTGCTGACAGCACACCTCACTCAGAGCTAGTGCCAAAAGCCACAAAGTGCCATCTGCAGCCAAAGAGGGGCCCACCATTGCAGCAATTCCACAGACCCTGAGGGAGGCTGGGAGTGACTGCTTACCTTGGCTTTCTGGAGGACAGTGCCTTTGCCTGTGACCATGACTGAAAGAGGCCTGTTCTTGAGCACAGATGCAGAGTTGACTGGGGTACAGTCTGGAGTGGGGGTAGGTGTGGCAGCTTTGGGCTGTGGTTAAGAAGGAAAGCAAGGGCTGGGTCAAGAGGAGGGAGGTATGATCCACCTCTCCCAGCCTGTGTTTAGAAGGTCCCATACACAGCTCAAAGGAGCTGTGGTACCTGGACCCGGCACTCACACGGGGGCTCATGTTGTCCAGGTGGGTGGTATCTACGGTGGTGCCCAGTGTCACAGGCCCAGCCTCAGCCTTTTTCAGGTTGTCCTTCACCTCCATGATGTTAAGCTCAAGGTCCACACGCTTGCTCTCTTCGATCCGGCATTCTTCATCCACTTCCTTCAACTTCTGCTCCAGGCTGGCCAGGACTCCCTTGTCTGGAGAGAGAACAAAGCTGGTTGCAGAGGACAGTATTTCAGCCAAGGGAGCCATGCTGGGTGGAGTCAGCAGTTACATACCCCTCTGCTGGACAATGAATCTAGAGCCTAAGGTCCCTTCTGGTAGGTTCTGAGACACTCATTTATACTGACATCACTGCTGTCACAGTGCCCTTAAAGCCTGAGAGCAACTTTACCCATGGCCCTTAGAGGATGGCTGGGATATTCTGACTTGTCCCATACTGTTCCCTCCATACCCTGGTGCTTGGTGAGACATACCTTCAGTGTGTCAGTGAGGTCTGCAGAGGACTTTTAAAATAGACTACTGGGAGATAGTAGAACTCTCAAAGGTGGAGCCTCGTTGGAGGAAGTGTGTTGTTAGGGCTGTGCCTAACACCTTTTAGGGTGTATCTTGACCCTGGCCCCTTCCTGACATGAACAGCTATGCTCTAACACTAAGAAACATGAGTCAAGCAACCAGGGACTGAAGCCTTTCTCAATTATAAGTTACTTATTTCAAATTTATGTCACGGCATTGAAAAACTAACTTACACAATATCCAAGAATGCCAAACCCTCAAAACCAGGACACCTATTTATAGAAACAGACAGGTCAGTAGTTCTCTACAGGTAAGAGTTGGAGAGAAACGGGGAGTGACTGTGTACAGAGGCAGGTTTTCTTGGGGGTTCAAGAATGGGTTACAGTGATGGCTGATAACTCTGTGTGTGTGTGTGTGTGTGTGTGTGTGTGTGTGTGTGTGT